CGAGATCGGGGCCGCCCCCCGGTTAGAATAGTCAACCTGCATGTCGACGCAAATGAGTCTTCCACTAGAACGAGACTGGGTGAGTCGACCCCTCACCACCCTCCTTCCGCTCGTAGCTCATGCCGCCCACCCCGGACAGACGGCCACCCAATTCGCAGTTTCCGCACTGCCAATCAACCGAGAACCACTCCGAACCCCCATATGCTCCCCATCTCCCCGCACAAACTTCTCCCACCACTTCCTGACTCGCTAACTTCCCTGCCACCCTGACGCCACCAAACGACTCGCCCGGGTCCGAAACCCCGGGGTCCGTTCTCTGCCCATCTGCTCCCGCCTCGGATCGCGCGCGCTAGCCTCTGCCTCGTCACGCCCCCGCCCTCTTCACCATCTCCAACTCCTCACTCCCCGCGTCACCTCCGATCTATGCTGGCGTCAACAAAAACAAATCCGAGCTCGCACTGGACCGGCGACTCCACGCACTTCTGCTCGGTACACCGAGATCGGTCAATAACCGATCTCAGCCGACCTGCCCGTTTTTATCCCCGAGGCTCCGGGCCGGTTCTCCGCCCGCCTCAATCAAACCCCTTTCGTTACTACACCCCCCGCCTCAATTCGGTACCACCCCGTCCTACCAGCCCTTGCATGGTTCCGGTCTTCTTTCGGGGTCGGGTACTGACAGATGCCCCCAGGGCGTGTTATGAATCTGACCATCAGGGAGCAGTCGGGTCCGCCCACTTTCCCCTGATTCACGATACCATTCTTTCCCAGGGGCCATGCTGATCTTCTCTATATCGTTCCAAAAATCAACGGACTTCCGGAAGGATTCGCGCGAGGGGAGGCCCCCCCCTCCCCTGCGCGCGCCTATCCCTGTTTCCTGCCCGGGTACATTCCCGGCTTCTCGCGTGCCAGCCTCGCGCAGCGACTATGCAAGTCCTCTACGCGTTGGCCCAAGCCTTCGACTAGCTCCCCGAAAAGACCCACTTGCAGCGATTCCCCCCTCCTCCTTCTTTTTTCCGGTGTGCACCTGACCCGGCTCGCACCCGGGTTCATCCGCGGTTCCGCACGCCTTAACTTTTACACAACGATCATACAAATCTCATCGATCCGATTTTGACAGAGGCCGCAAAAACTTCCATCGTGGCAAGCACCCCACGGCACCTCCAAGGGGTCACACGCACACGTCCTGTCCTCTCGTCCGGGTTCACCCCTAGAACCCCCCTTACGTATCGTCCTCACACCGTGGCCGCGCTAGTCCCTTCTACATTGCTCCATCTCAGCGGATGTCGCGACGGCTTTCGCTCGCCCAGCACCGTGGCTCTTCAGAACTCACGCGACCAAGAGCCGCCCTACTATCTGCGCACGAACCTTCCCTACATCCCGTCCGGGTTCCCTCCCTCCTCGGACTTTCGCTCACTGACTACACAGATCTCCTTCTCCGCGCTCAGATTCTTCCCACGGACGACCCTTTCCACCCCCTTGGCCTTTTCCAGCATGGGCCTGGCCCCCTTTTCGGGCTTTATACTTGAGGACCTTACGCAGGGGCCATGCTAATCTTCTCCGTGCTGCTCTGGTTTTAACAGATGTCCCGACGGATTTATTCCCAGTGGCACTCCACGGCCCCTTTCGTGGCCCGAGCTATCACCTGCACCCCTAGCCCTGAACGCGGGCCTGCCTCACCGGCTCATAGGGTGTACCCTCTATAACGGGCCAATGGCCCAAAGCTTGGTTCCTACTATTCCCCAAAAAAAAAAAGGGAGAAGGATAAGTTATCCACAAGATCCCCAAAAAAACAAAAAGGAAAGGGCAGAAACCGGTGGGAAAAACGACGAGGACATGTCGCGGGGTCTACCAGCAACTCCCCGATCTTACAAAACAGGCCCGCGACCGGACTCCCCTGACAAAACTAAAGGGGATAGTCCCACGGGACCCTCAACCCCTCGGTTTCTCCTTCGCTTGATCTTGGTCGTCGTCCGCTGGCCTCGATCCCCGTACCTCCATGGTAGCAATCCAATATCATAACCTATAGGGCTAAGCCCAAGCCTGTGACCATCGGGCACGGTTTCCCACATAAAGTGATGCCGCACGATGCTTCGGGCCAGGACACCACCCCGACCACTCTTTCGGCCCACATTTGCACGCACGGCCCCCAGGTGTCCGCATCGGCCTACCTTCCTGCGGCATTGCCATCCCGCGCCTCAGCCTGCGCGCCACCACCGGTCGCACGTGCCACTCAAAGCGAGCTTTCGCCTCCTAATCAAACCAGTCACTCGGTCCGGATCGGTCGGCTACCCCGGCCGCCCACTCAATCAGAAACATCACACGGGCGCCTTAAAACTACGCACCCACGTACTCCCTACCGGGACAAGGCAAACCTTTGTCTACATGCGAGCGACCCTCGCATTTTCCCGCGCGGGCACTCATAATCCAGGTTAACCGAGCCTTTCTATCACTTGCAAAAACCAGGGCGGATACCCTTGTAAGGGTATTCGCGCCGACAACTTACCGGACCATATTAAGCGACGTCCTCGTCGCGTCGCCAAATCAGAAAACTATAAATTCATTCATACTCCAAATGCTGACGATATTAGAACCAATCCGATTAGCCGACAGACTCAGGGGTGAGGCCTCCATCAAACCGTGCCAACACAACTATATGCCGCCAGGGTTTCAACCTGGGTCCCCATTGTCTTGACACCAGGACGCTGGTGTATTACGTATCAATACTACAACATAAGTTCCAAAGGCCCTCAAACCATCCTCTTCCCCTTTTGTCCTAGACAACTGCCGGCCTCTCGTTGGGTGTCCCAGTTGGCCACTTTCTCGTAGACAGAGCCATAACTAGGGACGTGGGCTTTGAGTGGGACCTGTGAAGGCATTCTTTGCCTTCTTCCAACAAATTCCTCGCAATCAAATAAAATACACACGTATAAGCTTGTAGCTTCTCTCGGCCTTTTCTGCAGTCTAGAATAGAAATGCCAGGTCCCCACCTGCGCCCACCGTAGCCTGGCTGATCGGGCCAGGTCTACGGCCCACCGCATTGTTACCTTAGCGGCGGTATCCTCCCGTTGGTTATACAACGATAGGTGTTCCTCCTGATAATCAATCAATCAGCACTTTTCCAAAAGACTCGACTCCTATCCCGCGGAGTAATTTCTCTGGGGCGGGCAACTCCCCTTAAACTCGCGGGCCCGCAGCCGGGTTGTGTCGGCTTGCAGCCATCCACTAGGGGTTGTGCCCAGGTGGCACTAAACTTTACTGTTAGCTTGGTATTCCTTTAATATGTCCCAGAATTAGCACAGGTGGCCCGGCGGGGCATCACAAACAATTCACAGGCCGTTGCGGGACTACGCAGGGGTCTGAAGGTATTTGTCGGCCCTCCTATAATAGGCACGGCCTCCTTCGCTCAATCACAAACAGTCTCCCCGCTGGATCCACAAGGCCGCGATTCCTGACTTGATCAAAGCCAGCAGTCGCCCACCCTGAGGCAGCTCTCGCCCCTTTTCAAACAATTCAAACAAACATGGTTCCTCTCGTCAGACTTTATTAACACAAACAATGCTTTCTATACCAATCTGTATACCCACCCTTACTTAGTAAGGTGTGTCTTTCACAAAAAATCTCTCGTTCACCCCTTTTCTGTCTGGGATGAACTTTTACGGGACCTCTTTCAACCCATAAAGGAGCCTCAATAACAATGCAATCCCTGCCTTCCAGAACCATGAAGGGGGTCTCAGTCACCAACTCATTCGAACTGATGGACCATCCTTTGGGTCCTTATACAACTTAGGCAACGATGTTTAGTATGGCCAAATCTTGCAGATCCCTAAATCCATCAACCCTGTAGGATTCTCACAGTTTTTCACAAAACAGGCTGCACTTCCCCTCCTTATACTCTGCCTTCTCGTCCGCTTACAGCAGACCGCACGAGTATACCGAAGGGTAGACAGCTTTACAATTTGCACAATCATGCCAATGAGATGTATCCTATACCCCTCTCACACAAAGCCAAACATTCATCGAGACGAATCCACACATGTGAGAGTGATAGTGATCGTCACAAGACAAGTCTCATAGGATCTCAACTCATAGGACACTCAGGGAGTATAATGCCTCCCTCAATCAATCGAATACGAGCACTCAACTCAATACCCTGTCTGTCCGAGTAGGACTCATAACCCCACTGTACACTCATTAACTACACTCGGGGACATAGCACCCACCTAACATCCGCAAAACGGCTAGCCCCTATCCTCCCCTGCTGGGAAACTCAGATCCCGAGTGTTGTAAACTCCCAAATCCCGTTCAGAGCAGCAATAGTTTCTGAATCCCAGAACCAAATGTAACTAAATGGTCTTATATATCACACAGCTGAGTCCTACCCCTGGGTCGTAGCCCACGAAGAAACTCAAGAAGGAACAAGCGAACAAAAGTCACACGCATATGTACAATTGGATAGAAACTCCTCCCACCACTCCTACGCACACACATATCTAGGGCCCGCTCAACTGACTCAAGGTATGTACACCCCTAACCCCGCCCTGTGTGTGTCAAGGATCTCTAGTCCTATCAATATATAGACAGACCGATCCCTACTTACATAATTCTTTCTGGTTCTGCCTATATAACTGAGCCCTGCCCCCATCTGGAGCTCACTCTACTATCCTGCCCTGCCTGTCATAGAACTTGTCGTTGAACTCCGCAACTCGCCCCTCGGCCTTATCTTCGAGGAGTTATGGGCAGTCCACGGCTCTATGCCCTTCCTCCTTGCACCAAAAACAGGAGGTATCGTGTCATCTGACAGTCTTCTTCGTTCTCCCCTGCGAACTCGATGTCGAAGGCGTTCCCATGGTCTCAGTAGTCAACTCATGACACGAGGGCAAACCCACATGGCCCTGAGGTCCACGCTCCATAGCCTCAGCACCCCCACCCTCTCATATGGCCGTGCTCACTGGCCTGCAGCCCGGCGTGCCCAACTCTCGGGGTCCCTCCTCATGAGCCCTCTCTGTCATCACCGCCTCATCCCTTCATACCCCTGACGTCTGAGGGCCGCCCATAGCGGTGGGCTCACTCATGACCTCCTACTGCTGTTGCCGCCGCGAGTCAGGCTCCCCGAAGTCCGTCTCCGTGGCCCAGGAGCCCAGCTCCGTCCTCAACTCTCCTAATCTCGGAGCATCCTCTAGAGTGTCGAGCCTCTGAGGCCTCTCCTGTGGAATGCCTATCCCCATGGCTGCCGCCAGCTCATGCAAGCGCGAACCTCTCCTCTCCGTGGACATAGCCATAAGCGACGCCTGCACACCACCTTCCTCCTCAACTGCGTCCAAGGGCACCTCCTCTATCGGCTCACTCTGTCGGGGGACCTCCACTGTTGCTCCTTGGCTCGGCGAGGCGCGCATCCCCCGGCCCTGGCCATCGGCACCGGCTCGCCCCACCTGGCTAGCCTCACACGCTGCCGAGAGCCTATCCACAGCGGCCACCATCTCCCCAAATCTCCTCTCCCACTCAACCTCTTTAGCCTGGGTCCTCGCCCTCTCCTCGACAAGTTGGGTAGTTAGGTGCTCTACCTCCAACTCATTAATCCTGAGCTCATTGCTGAGTAGATTATACCACTGGAAAGATGTGACTGCCGTCTCGCATACCCTCCGATCCATGCGCTCAATCGCCTGCCTGGTCGCGGAGAACCCCAATTCCCCCATCTCTCTCAGCTCACTCGTCTCCGCATCCGCCCGTCCTGCCTCTCGTGACCTCTGGCGGGCTGCATCCCTCTGGCTCTCATACCTAGCCCACAACTCGTCGATCCTCTGCTCACTCGTCTTGGGCTCGACCGGCGGTGTCGGCTCTATCCCCGCCGCCTCCATCTCAGCCTGTCTTGCGTATATCTCGTCCAGACGGACCCGCACTCGGGCGGACTTCTCTTTGCGGGTCTCTCTTGGGGTTCCTTCCACTCGCGGCCCCTAGCCTCCTGGAGTCGACGCCTCCGCCTCCATCCCTTCGCTTGCGCGCGGCACTACTGGCGGTAACTCTGCTCAAACGGGCTCCTCGATATCCGGGCTCTTGGTCACCTGCGTGGCCGAGGGCAAGTCAAGGGGTGCCTCCATCCTCGCTCTCTCACACACACCCTGGTCCTCCGCCTCTACCTCCTGCTCAGGTATAGTGGTGGCCTCAGGGGGAAACTCCGGGATCTCCTCACTGCCTGGCTCAGGAATCCCCTCTGGCCATGAACGTTGTGCTAGCTCTGGAGCTGGGGAGCATGGAGGGGTATCGTCCCCAAACCGTGATCACCTCTCTACCCTGAGGTTGCACCGCATCTGGCCGCCCGGCTGCCATCTCAGGATCCTGCGGCTCCTCTCGGTCTCGCATGTCTGTCTCCATCTCGGGGTCAAGGGGCTCCTCCAATGGCACGTAGCATGCCGGCTCAACTGAGCCCTCTCCCAGCCGTGAGGCCTCCCATTGGGATACATCGAGATGAGTCGCTAAGCTTCGGAATGGCGTCTCTCTTGGTATGTCCAGCTCCTGCGTTGATGGCAGTGGCGAGGGCGGCCTCAACTCCTCGCTCGTAATCCGCCGAAACTCGACCGCTCGGAGGCTACAAGCAGGGAACGACTCCTCTGCCAATGTGGGCCCTGCGGGCTCATCCTCCCGCTGGGCTGGGGCTCCCCTCCTCTCTCTGGCCAGTCCCGCCTCTCTCGGTGCCGGTTCCCTTGGCCTCTTGCTTCGCCGCCGCCTCTCAACTCTGGGCTCGTGCCTTTCGTGTTGTGGCCGTCTGAACGCCCTCCTGAGCTGGGCCTGACAGTCCTCCCAGTCTCGAGCCCTCTCCGGAATCTGCTTGGCCACCTGCCTCTCTGCCTGCCTCATCCAGATAAGTATAGCCTGCACCCATTCCTCCCGCGCAACCCCCAGACTCAACATGTAGTGCTCATATGCGGGGATGAACTCATCTGCATTCCCCTCCTCCAATCGAATGGGCATGCCATCACGCCCCCTAGGGGAAGCTCTCAACCTCTGCATCCCGGCTTCCACGTCCGGCCAAGTCAGGGTCTCCTCACATATCTAAGCCACAGGCTCCTCGAACCGCCCCCCTCAAGTGGTGAATCCTCTCCGCCACTGACCACCCTCTTTGTGCCGCATGATCCCGATATACGTCCAAGAAGAGCTCAATGTTGTCATCATCAAACTCAGGCATAGGCTCCCTCCTAGGCGGCTCATGCTGCTCGCCTCTTCCCTCCATCCTCTGGGGCCCCTGGCGTGGCCGTGTGTCCCTCCCGCCCCTCTGCATGACTGCCTTCGAAAAGTCAGACCTGCACAACAGGCGAGAGACAACAAGCAGGCACACAGCAGGGTCAGCAACCGAACCATCGGCCTAGGGAAATCCCACATACACTCCACACCCATCCATCCCAATCATCCACCTATCTAACCATCCGACCTGGGTAATACCTAGGCAAGACTCTATCCCTAACGAGGTCTCATGACCCCTTACCTATTCCCTGGCCACAAACTTCTTCAGCCTTGTCCCTGATACCTCGTCCTGCCATCCTGCCCCATCTAGCTCCTCAATTTGGTAGGCACCAAACTCGCCACACCGCACGATCCTATAGGGTCCCAGCTACCGTTTGTCGAGTTTCCTGGACCACTGCTTTTCCAGCGAGGAGTCATACAGTAGCACCACATCCCCAACCTTCAGTGGATCCTTATTCGGGCCATCTGGTCCCACCTCATCTTGTCTTCCATGCGACTTCTCTCCACCTGACCAGCGGCTTCTCGTAACCTTTCCTCAGCGGCTCCCACCTGCCGCGCCCGTATATCGAGCAGTTCTTCAAAGGAAAGGTTCACTTCCAGGTCCTGGCGCCTCCACGTTTTCATAAAGTTTTCTATGGGAAAGGTGGCATGTCTTCCATACCATAGTGTGGTTGGCGCATACTTGGTAGTCCTTTTCACTGTAACATTCTCCACGAAGAATGCTGCTCTCAGGAATTTCGGTCACTGGTTAGGCTTTCCCTCATTCCATTTGGCCTGGAGATTCGTGATGGTACTATGCCCCCTTTCCATAGGCGCGTTTGCCTGGGGGTGCACGACAGTAGTGTAGTTTGTCACCACGTCGTATCCCGCAAGCAAGGTCCGCGCCTCGTTACACGTAAACTCCGACCCCCGGTCAATCACAAACTCTCTGACAAATAGATAGCGCAAGTAGTACTCTTCGATGCACCTTGCCAAAACTGGGCCGGTTTTCGTACGAATAGCCCGACCGTCCACGAACCCGGTAAGGTTGTCCCGTGCGTCGAAGATATAGTTACTTCCGTCCTCCCCAACTGGCATGAACAATAGGTCCAGGTGTACGACTGCACCCATTTCCCTCTCCGGTCTGGGGTGCAGAGGCTCCTCCGGCCTTTGCGATGACCTTTGTTGGCAGGGCACACAGGATTGGCAGTACTTGATGACCACAGTCAGCATTCCATCCCAATGGTATAACTCACTTATCTTTGCGCATGTGGCACTAACCCCTCTGTGCCCCCCTGCTATACCATCGTGTAACGCCGCTATGACATCGATTTGCCGGTTCCTCCCACATACGATCCTCTTTGGGTTCCCAACCTGTCGCTTTATAAACAGATGGCCGTCTCTTACTACGTAGAGATGCCTCATCTTCTGGGCTTTAGCACTAGCGTCCCTATCCCTTATTTCGCACGACAGGAGTAACCCCAATTCCCGATAGATCCCGTCATACTCCTCAACACGGAAGGCCTCCCTGATCTCTCCCTCTTCGAACTCGTCGTCCTGRCTCTCAGGAATAAGAAGTTCGCCYTYTTCRGAGYTGGYTGCGCTCCTCTGGTCAAAGTTCCCCTGYAKGAGCGTGTTGGTGAGCAAGTACATTCCTCCCATTAGTTGCTCATGCTCCTCTACCTGGGTTGGGCCTTCCTCTATCGTCCTCACCTCCTCCACTAGATCATGCGTCCCTGCCAACGCCAACTTCATCATCCAGCCAACATCCCTACTCCCCCACGGATCTTCCTCCTGGAAAGGCTTGAGGACCAATTCCTCCTGCTCGTACCCCCTTGGTGCTAGCCATATAGGATGCGTGACGCAGCTAGGCACCCTCAGCGACCATTCATTTATGTGGAGGCGGACATTCTCTTCCTGATCCAGGAACCCGTCAACTGGCGGGGTATCCTCAATTGACTCTTTGCCCGCCCCATCCCAGTTGATACGGCTCAGCCCATCTGCCGTGTTCTTGTCCCCGGAAATCCTCTCCAACTCAAAGTTAAACATCCAAATGTAAGTCAACCACCTCGCGGTGGTTGGGTCAGATGGAGTATAACTTTTCAGGGAACACGCCAGCGCGGTAGGGTCCACCCTCAAAATGAGCCTCCTGCCAAAGATATAGTTCCAGAAGGTCCTTAGGCAGTGGAGTACCACCAACGTCTCCTTCTTAAACTGGGAGTAGTTCCTCTCAGTCGTATTGAGGGTGCGACTTTCAAACCTTAACGGCCTCTCCTTCCCATCCGCATCCGCCTGAATCAGGACTCCTCCTAAGGCAGTTGGCCCAACGTCCGTCTCGACAACGAATGGCTTTTCCTCCGTGACCTCGTAGTTTGGCGCTCCTAGCACCAAACCTCCTTCCTTGAATTCTCTCTTCATCCTTTCCACAGCCCTTTCCTGGTCTTCGCCCTAGACCCACTCCTGATCCTGACGCACCAGCTTCCTCAAATGCTTCGTCTTGGTGGCGAAGTCCTTCACAAAACTCCTCCAAAACCCGCAGGTCCCAAGGAAGGTCCGCACGTTCGTTATCGACTGGAAGGGGACTGGCCACTCTAGGATTTTATCCGTCTTCTTCACATTTGGCCTCCTCCCCTTCTCGTTGCAAACAAATCCCAAAATCGTGGCCTCCCTCATACAGTGTTTCGACTTGGTGCCGCTTGCCATCAGGTTGTGTTCTTCCAGCAGACCCAAAACCTGATCGATATCCTGGACGTGCTTCCAGACGAACCGCCTCACTCYTGGCATCACTTCGTCTTCCTCCTTCTCCTTTGGACCCTTGACCGCCAAATCGTCAATGTAGGGCTGAGTAATATGTGGACTAACCGTCTGCATGTCCCTAACCATGTGCCTTTGCACCATCGTCACCGCATTAGTCCACCCCTGAGGCGCCACGTTCATGTGGATTAGCCCCCTTGGCGTATGCATCGCTGTCACTGGCCTATCCGGTGGGTACACAGGAAACTGGTCATACCCAGAGTAAAGGTCTATAAGTGAAATTATAGGCCTTCCTGCGCATGATTCTGGCAGGGCGTCTGCGTTCGGCAATCCTCCCGCGTCCTGCACCGTCACTGCATTCAGCCGTTGCAGATCCTGCACCCACCGCAGCGTTCCGTTCGGCTTGATAAAACAAAACCAAGGGGAAGCATACGGTCCACTAGAGTAATCCGCCACATACGTCCTCATCTTCCCATCCAAGTAATCCACCACCTTCTTCTCCTCATCTGGATTCGGGTACCGCGCGCCCCTCAGGTTCCATGGCTCATGTGGGACGGTATGGATTCGTATCATCGGGATCTTATCCACGTTCAACCTCCCATGCTCGTCATCATTAAACGCGTACGCGCAATGCCTCCTCCTCATGGTCTCGACCATCAAGGTCCTCTCCTGGGGCGACAGGAAGCCAGGCTCGCCAATTATCAACCCTTCCTCATTCTCCTTATTGATGCGGCACGGCCCTGCCTGCGCGCGTTCTCGCATATGCCTTATCAGCCCCCGCTCTCGCTCATAGTAGGCTTCCTCATCCTCCGTGACAAGCACGGGGACCGGGCGACACTTCTTGTCTATGGTCTTGTACCGCCTTTGGGAGCCCTGCTTAAGCCCTCCCCTAAAAAAGGCCGACTTGTTGTTCGGGCCTGGGCCATCACAGGGTCCCCTCTCCTCCCGGGAAGCCGATAGACCAGCTTCACTTCTCCCACTTGAGGGCTTTCCAGGACCTGCTCCCTCAATGCCTTTATGGCTTCCGGGTCCGCCATATTGCGCGTCGCCACCACCTCCATTGCCTTATTCACATCATTAAGGCTCAGGGACAGCACCTCGCCTGCTCCTTCCCTCTCCTGTTCCTCCCGGAGTCTCCGCCGCTCGTACTCCGACTCCTCGAAGGTAAAGGAGCCGAGGTTGAGCCTATTCCTCGCACTTCCGGGCCCTGTGCTCCGGCACTTGATGATTTCGTAGTTTCCGCAAGTCGGATCAGATAGAGCCAGGATCATCGTCCCCTCATGCCTATTGAAGACCAAGATCTCTGTTCGGCAGAGGAACGACCTCCCCAGAAGAATAGGGTGGTCGACGTCGGGCATAACGAAGAAGCACGTTCGCGCCCTTACTCTCCCAATCTCCACCATCACATTAGACGTTGTGCCGCAGAAAATGGCCTTGCAGTTGGCGCCATGCAGCACACTATGGTCCGAATGGTCAACTTCCAACCCTAACATCGTCGCGTCCCGCTCCCAGATGATATTCATTTCCACGCCTGTGTCCACCATTTGCAATGCTCGGCTGGTCCCTCACCTTCAAGTCCACCAACCCACACGCCACACATTTTCAATCCATCCTAGTGCCCGCCTCTGTCCACTCTATCTCCCTGGGCAGAATTGAGCGCAGGTGGACATTGGACACTAACCTTCGCGATAGCCGCCCTTTCAGCTCGCCCCGGAGCCTTGGTGTTGAGGCCAAAATGTCCTTTAAGTTCATCAGATCGTCATGGCCCTCTAGGAGCTTATCCACCATTCGCTCCACGTCAAAGCCTTCCTCCAGCCGGACTGCGTGCTTCTTCCTTTTTGGCACGCCATCATGCAGACTCGGCTCCACCCCTCCCTGAGCCCCCTTCTTCTTGGCCCTCTGTTCCGCCCTCCGGTCCTCCTCCTGCCGGAGCCTCTCGTCCTCTTCGTCATCACCCTCATCTTCCTCTTCTTGAACTTCTACCACTTCCTTTCTTCGTTCGGGCTCAGGGTCCTTTCGAGGGGGTGCCCGACTGGGTGCCTGGCTAGGCCCTTGACTGGTGGTGGCCTTACTTTGGCCCCTAGTCTGCACGACCTGAGGTACCCTTCCATGCGACGTAGGGGGTCTGAAGGTCATCCCTGACCTAGGACCTGCCCCGGCCGTCGCCACGCTTGGACATCCTTGTGGTCGTGACGACGACTCCGGACCGGACCCATAGAGCATCACCTCAGGAAGGCTCATTTCCCATTCCCGGGCCTTTTCACACATTGCCCTTAATCGATCCTAATACCTGCCGACCTTTGCAAGCAGGTCCTCCATCCCCTCCAGGATGGTCGAGGCTGACTCTCTCACCACTTCATGCGCCTCATCGTAAGACTCAACAATTATGGGCTCCTCCTTTATAGTCCCCGCCTTCAACCGCTGAGTTACTTCCTCATTTTCATCCACAACCTCCTCGACTCTTATGCCGGGGTTTTGCCTTTCCTGCCATATCCTGAACATTGCCGGGGCTGCTGGAGGCCCGACCGCCGCCCGCCTGAGGGTTTCCTGCCTGATTCCTCCCAGGGTCTTGGGGTCAATATGCGTCCCCCACCGGTCGTATATATCCCCATCTATACAGGTGGAGATTAATCCTGCCTTTTCGTCGTCCCGCCGCTGTTGGCGGAATCGTACGGTGTGGCCCATCTCGCCACAATGTCAACAAGTTGCGTTCCGCCAGTCGAAGCGGGGTCTCCCATACCCTTGGCCCCCTCCCTGGCTGCTTTGGCCGCCTTGGTTCTGACCCCCTTGACCATTCCAGTCTCCTCCACGACCTCCACCATTTCCTCCTCGCCCCCGGCCGCCCCCTCCTCTACCTCCTTGGCCCCCGCCCCCATTGCCCTGCCCGCCTTGTCCTTGGCCTCCTCCCCCGGCCACACTAGCTTGCGAGGCCTGCTGGGAGGGCGGCGGTTGAGCCACGGGCAAGCTTTGAGTCGCCGGGTAGCTCGGGGGGCCCATACTTGCGGATGGGCCTGAATAGGGGACCAGGTGCCCCGCGTGGGCCTCACTCCCTCCACACGAGACATAGTGGTTACAACTGGGCCAGGGCGTGGATTGGCAATGCGGCACCCAGTGTCCACAAGATGGCGGCGGCCCCATGTGTGATGATCCGGCTGGCGCGGGTGCCAGGGCGGCCGCGATGACAGGTGATGGTGCGGCAAGGGCTTGGGGAGCCTGCCCTTTCCCTGATCCCTGTTCCCCCAGTAGTAGATTACGCTGCTTCCTCTGGGCCTTAGTCAGGGCTTGGGAGCCCGTCTCCCCTCCGCCGTAGTCTTCGCGCCCTGCCTCCTCATCTCCTACTCCTGACGTCCGTCCTTGGGCCACTGCCATCACTCTTTTCTGTAGTTCTGCTTCGCTATCATACCCCAGTGCCGCCAACACGTCCGTGACTATTCTCTTCACCCCTGGGGTCCCGGATGCAGTAGCATCCCTCTCCTTCCTCTTACGCCTTTGCAGCCTCATTTGGTGTTGCTCCACCTGGTCCAGGCTCCCTTCTTCTACTCCCTTGTCAATGGTTGCCCAGGTGAGCCTCTCGCTTCCTTCCCCATACTTCGTCAATTCTATGGCCTCCGAGCCTGTAAGTAGCCCCAAAAATGTGGCGCACTGCGCCTCCTCAGAAATCCCGTGCACTTTCCTCGCCCTGTTTTTTGAACTTGTGCACAAACACCTCAATGGTAGAGAAGTCTTCCTTGTTAATGGCCTCCAATTCGACCATGGTCAACAGGCCGTCCCCCAGCCTATACTTCCTTCGCATTAGGTCTCCAAACTTTGCCCAACTGCCACCGGCGGCGTCCACAATCTTAGTTACTTCCCGATGGTGACTGTGCAGGACATACCTCAGGACCCGCTGGAGCTTGACCTCATCTGACAGTCCCACCAGCGCCTGCTCCGTCAGATCCAACCAATCAGATACCCGATCCCCTTTGAAGTGGAATGTCTCGACCTTTGGGACGTTGCTCGGCGCCCTCTCACGCATGTCCAGGGCATCGATGAGGTCATCGAGAGTCACAAGCTTCCTCCCACCGTCCGCCATCTCCTCTGGCATTTTGGCCAACCGCCTTCAACTTCAATCTCCCTGTTATAAGAGACGATGGGACAGAGGACCCCACTCAGCGACTCAACCTTTCATGACCCTATCGAGTTGACCACCTTAGACGCCCCACACTCTAGACCTGACAGGCATTCCTTTTCCCATTTCCCTTGGGCTCATCTAGATAACGCTTATCTTTACCATAGGACTTCCTCACACACTTACTTCATTCAAGCTATCAACCAAGCCACCAATCAATCAATCATCCAACCCATAGTCATATGAATCACCTTACATACACCTCATAGTCCTTCTCTTATTCACTCATATGCCTAATTTCCCGCTTACTCCCATACCCGGATGTCGTTCCACCAGGGACAACGGTAGGCTTCCGTTATCCCCAGCAACGGCGCCACCTGTCGAGCGCATCGGTCTGGCACCGCACGCGGCAGAGCGGGACCCTCTCGGCCGCGTCACGCAGGAGTTGGACCAACCTCGTCACGAAC